GTTTTGATTTGATAATAAGAGTTTCGAAATAAAAATTTTAATTTGCGACAATCCGAAAACTTGGAACATAAATCAAAACAAAATCATATAATCCAGTTTGCGCGTTCGTAAGAAACATATATTGTAGCGCAAAATAAGTGATAAAAACTAAATTAAATATTTCATTTAATAATGCTATAAAAAAGTGTAGTTAAAGCAATAAAAGTTTAAAGGTAATTAAAAGTTTTTATTTTAATGTACAATTACAAAATTGAATTACAAAAACTTAAAGTAAAACCAAAAATGGAGTAAGACATTTTTGCAAAGTGCAAAACAATAAAATCGAAAGATTATTTTTAAAATTAAAATGCAATCCTTAATCGAAAAACCGCAATGACCTCAAAACTGTTTAACTTAACACATCGAGTGAATCTAAAACTGTAGAACAGCTGTAAAACGCGTTGCCATAAAACACATAGTGCCTCTCTCTCCAACGCAATGCAACGCAGGCTATCCCACTCTGGCGCTGTCGGCACTCTCTGCTCTCCGGCGAATTCGGACAAAAACAAACCATTAAGAACGCGGCGAAGAGAGCGCGTGCACTTGTCTGTCAAGATTATGGCGGTTTCAGTCACTTTTTGTTTTTTTTTCCTTTTGCAGCGAAGAAGAAGAAGAGCGCCGACGGCAACTCCTATTTTTCTTCATGTGCCATTTTTTTATTCGGGCTTTTGCTTGAGTGAGTGAGTGAGCGAGCGAGATGGCGCCACATCAAGTTGATATCGTGTCGTCGTCTTCATCTTTTGCTGTCGCTCGTCGTTTGCGTTTGATAAATTGCGTTTATAAGAAAGAGATGAATTGTCATGCACACAACACACACTTCTCTGCCGACGTCGACGTCACAGTCGGCGTCGCTGCCGGCTTTAACATCACTGTAGGTGAAGGCAACAGGATAAATGTGTGAGTGTTTAAATCATATTGGCTGCCCCCCATTTGGCGTGAGTGTATGGGTGAGAGCTGTCCCCGCTCCCCCATCCCACTCACTCTTCCCTCTCTTTCGCTCGTCTGGGATTGGAAGTTTCCAAATGCAATTTTCCTTGAGGTTTTCCCGAGTCGATTCCTTTTCGGCTTTTTATTTCTTTTTTTTTTGCCTTTGGTGGGTGGAGACCCAGCCCCCTAAATTCGCTCTCCTCCCCTCTTCTTCGCCCCTTGATTATTTGCCTTTTTTCGGGTGATTTAAATTTCATGGTCCCTTCAATTTGGCAAAGTTCTAAATATTAAATTAAATTCCTGCCTTGTTTCAGTTGGGGAAATACTTGAGCTTTTTTGGGCCGTTAGCCCTTTCTTATTATTTTTTTTGTTATTTTAGATTCTCATGATTTAGTAAATGCAATTTCTTTTTAAAAAACACAAACAAAAATATAAGATTGCACTGTTAGGGGCCCTATAATACATAAAGCTTTAAAAAATGTTATTTACCCTTCTATAGAAAGGAGTTCACAAAATTGTTATTAATGTCTAAAACAAAGGATAGTGATTTAATATATGCCTATTTAATTGAAATGCTGTTTTTGTTAATTTTTCTCAATATCTTAAAGTAAAGTAATCAATGTAATTGATTGTGCTTAATGATTTTTCAACTTATTATGACTCTCTTATATTATCAATTCAATTTAAATATTCATTAAAGCTAATTTGCTTTTCTCAGAAATGTTGATTATTTCTTGTTATCATTTTTCAAAGAAATAAAAGGTGTTTCTTTGAATTAGAATTAGGTTTATATTAGTCAGTAAACAAAAACGATTAATAAGAATTCAAAAATCTCTTATCATTTCTTAGTAGCAAAATTAGTTGCTTTAAGACATACATTTTATTTATTTATAATTTGATTGGGATCCTTGAACTTTGTCGCCGCATCAATCGATCTGCTGATTCGCGAATTTAATTTGGTCATTAGACCCACAGTTCCCACACTAAAGCTTTTGCCTAATTTATTGCATTTAATTGATTCGATTTTATGTGATTTTCGTTTCACATAAATTACTTGTTTCTGGCCACAGAAGTCGCACAAAAGTTCGCCAACAGAAAGCCAAGGAAAGCGAACTGTGAGCCGAAAAAAGGCGACCGCAAATCAATCAAAGTCTCATAAATTTGTCAAAGTGTTGACAGGACACAGACCCCCATATCATAGGGCCCAAGATATCGGGCGGACTTCGAGATTCCCATATGCCCAGATGCCAGAGATGAAATGGCAACCAGATTAAGTGCAACATCATCTTTTTGACCAGCGAAAACAGACACGGGAAATCCTTTTGGCGAGCGTCGGAAAACAAACAAGGCTATTTTTCATTTTCCTAAAAACGGCGGCCAAAGCGCTCCGTCTCTTTCCCGCCCCAATATCGCCCTCTCTTTCGTCGTAATGGCAACTGCAGCGCCAAGCCAAAAATACGCTGGTGAAAAATTGCCTGGGAATATGTGTTAACTGCTTTTTAAACTGCCACGAGGACGACGACACGACAGCAACAAAAACAGCAACAACAGCGAGGATTTTGGGACCAAAACGACGATGGGGATACCCTGGCTTCTAGCAATATAGGGTATCAGGAGTGAATTAGTAGACAGATTAAAAAAAAATTTAAGTAAATCAAGCAAAATATAAAAACGATTACTTATATTCGATGGATCTGAACTTACGAAATGCAAACCATTAATTTTGACTTTTGGAATCACAAATATCTTAAAGATTATCGTTAACGCAATACTGAATTACTGTAAAATTAAAAAATTAATGTGGGATAAATAAAAAAACTTTAGATCTACAAAATGACTAAAAATATACAGCTCTTTTGTAAGATTAAAATAGTTTCAAGGACCAGGAAAACTATTTTGGTGCTTTAAAACAACGTTGAAGAAATGTTGATAAATTGGATTTCAATTCATTTTGCTAACATCTAGAATGTAAAAACATTTTGTTTTTATTAAGGCTGTATTGGTTAATAAAACTTAAATGAACTTTTTTATGAACTTGCCATTTTACATTTTCCTAAAAGTTGTTATACCATCTTAAAGGGTATAAATACCAAAAAAAAAAAAACATTGCCGCCAGACAGGAGCGCAGAATGTTCTACAGGATATGCAATTTTCAGTGAATATTTTTTGGCAATTTATCGCCGCGCTATTTGTTGTTGCCTGTGAAGAATGCGAGAAAGAGAGGGGGAGAGCGAAACAGCTGTTTGTTGTTTTTGTCGGGATCATATCCTTTCAAAGTGGCCAGATCGCCGTCACAAAAAAGGAAATTGCAGCGAAAACTTTGCTTTGTCGTCGCCGTCTCTTCTTCTTTGTTTTCTTCAAGCTTCTTCTTTTTTTTTGCCGCTTTTCTTCGAAGGCGTTGCCAATTCGCGTATGTGTCATGCCAAAAGAGAGCGAAAAGTGAGCGAAAGCTGATGGACAACTGAAAAGCGCCCCCTTTCTCGCTCTCTCTCTCTTTCAACCTGTAAAGGTGCGGCGAAAGAGAGCCAAGCTGCCAACTGCCACTCACTCAAGCGAAAATAACAAATGGGATTGGTTTTTGCTGATTTTCAACGCCACGCATCGCGGTGCCGGCAGCGACGTCGACGTCGGCAGAGGCGAAAAACCCATAAGCCGTCTCCTTTTGGCCAAAGCCAAATAAATTTCAAACGCGGCGAACATTGCGCAAAAAGAGGCGAATAGAGAGAGGGAGACAGAAGTGACAAGTGTGTGGGCCTGTGTGCGGATGACAGAAGAGGCGTACCAACAAATCAGTCATCGTCGCAGGACGTGAGAGCGCCTGCGCTCTCTTTCGCCGCCCGCAATTCGCCGGAGCGTGCGCATAATCAATGTCCACATATACTCCTCTCACTCACTCTGCCTGAGTTATGGCCCTCAACGTTTTAATGGCACAATTGTTGCATGTGTGCCCGAGACAACCAGTCGGCACTGCTCACTCGCACGCTGCTTTGTTGCTGCACTGTTGCTCTCCGCTCTCCAAATGTTAACTAACAGCCAATGTTAAGGCCGTCGTAGAACGAAATTCAAACGTATCTGGCGGGTTGGTTTTTCGATGAAATATCTTTCATCCGCACAGTGTATTTTTGACTGCGAAGCGCGTACGACGTGTGTCTGTGTTGCGTTGCGTTTCTGTCGTTAACGGAAAAAGAAGCGAAAAGCGTTGCCGTCGGTGAAGTTTATTATTATTATTATTATTATTATTATTGCCGTTATACGCGCGTTTTCGAGGGAAAAGCCATCATCGATCACAACAGCAAACAACAACCACAACAATAAACACTTGGAAATCGCGCGCGTTATTCCATCGCGTCTCGTGTTGCATTACGTTTTTTAGTGTGTTTTTTGTATTGAACAAAACAAACCAAAATCCCCATTTGCAAAATATTGGAAAAGCCCAAAATACTATTATTCGAGGGCCGCTGAGGGAATTTCTTTAAACGAGGGGATCCAACCGATCCCCCCGCACAAAAACGCAAATTGCCGTCGCAAAAACACAACATAATATATCACCATTATATTAACAATATAATTTGTTCATCTCTAGTAACGTAGTATGTAGAAGCAGCTGTGATAAATAGTGCGCATATTATACGAAAAAAGCAAAAAGAGTATACGACAAAATACAAGCAACCACAACAACTACTACTAAATAACCAAGGAAAAAGGCAAAGGAAACTCAGAGAGAAGAAAACGGAAAAAGCCATGGATTTATGACAACAACAAATGCTAAACAACACAACAAATGATGTTGCAGCAACTACAACAATACATGAGTATACCAAGAACAACAACAAAAACTGCAACGGCAACTAACCACAAATTGTATACGATTTTTATAAACCAAACAAATTCTATGTAAATAATTATTATAACAAAAAAAAAGAAAAACAAAACAAAACAAAACAAAATAACAGCAAAAAACATTCAAAAACAAAAACAGATCTCCCGCTTAAAAAAACAACAACAAACGCGCGCGTAACAATAATAATACAACAAGTATACAAACGTAATAATAATACATAAAATCTAAACAAATGTGCCTGTGTTAAAAAAAGAAAGCAAATAAAGAAGCAAAGCATTCAAAAAGCAGAAGCTTCCGAATAAATGTAAAAGTGCAAAACATATAAAAACCCCAGAAATAACTACCCAAAACTCAAACCAAGAACTGGAAAGTAAAAGAGGGACTCCACACCGGCAGCTACAGTAGAGCTCCCCTAAAGAAGAAGCAGGTGAAGCGGCGGAGAGGGACGTCGGTTTGAGTGTTGCGCCCCCATTTGTTGTTTCTACTCCAAAAGTGGCACAAATCGGGTTAGACGTCGCTCCCAGAGCATTAATGGCTCAGCCCAGGGTAAGTAGAGCCCCAGAAATCCAGAATCTATATAGAAAACCTAAGGGCAGGTCTTCACAGAGTGTTGTTATCCTAAGAAAAGTAGCGACGGTAAAAAACTAGGGTATTTTAATCATGATAATACCAAGTCAGGAAGTCAAAAGGCCGTCGGCCCAAATAGTTTTTAGGTGACTGTGCTTTATTATTAAGATTCTTTATCAGTTTCTGAGTCATTACTATAACTAGCAGTGCAAATTCAGAATAATATATACAGATTCAAATAAAGGATAGTAAAAACCTCGAGTTTCTTTTTTATATAGGGCCTCCAAAATTTCTTAATTTACCCCAGTTTAATCAATTCAATAGGGAATTCAGCTCTTATTTATTAATAGAGCCCTATCAAGCTGAAACTTAGCCAAGCATTTGTGAGTTGTGTGTGATGGAGTAGGAAAGAAATCATATTTGATTTATGCGGGTTATTTTCTCGTACAAGCTTATGTAATTAACAAAGTCTATAGCCATCCAATCTATTTGTGGTATATTTAAGTATTATATTTTATAAAATGTCTGTGAAAAGTGGTTGATATTGTTGATACATAATAATTTTAAATGTTAAGTCAAATATAAAAAAAAATCCGCATTCTTTTAGTTTAGCTAACGTGAAAAAAGTAGCAAGATATTTCATTTAAAATAACTGGCGATGGTTGTTTTATCTGCAAAAATATTATTTCACAGTCAAATAAAAATATAAATATAATTGATATAGCTCTTGGTATTAAACAAGTTTCAGTTGCTCTAACTCACAAGTAGACTACTCGTTTTCGCACCATAAATAATTATTATATTTTCGTATAAACATCGCTGGGACCTTCACCTCCAAAGAGCCCCCTGCTGGAGGTCTCCCGATGTTTCCACCATTTTCCATCACGTTTATAAGGCATAAATTCTCGCCTCGGTTTAAGCAAAGTAATAATTTTTTACAATCCATCTGGATCATAAATTATATGCTAATCAGGTGACCGGCAGTCTCCGCCCTCTGCCTCTTCAATATTATTACCAAATCGCAGTTAGACTTTATCAATTGATTATCATGGACATGCGAAGTGAACTTGATTTTTATTTAACGGAGCAAAAAGACTTTAAACATGGCTGTGTGTGTTACCAATTAGCGAGTGTGTGAGGTTGTGAGCTCGTGTGTGTGTGTGTGTGTGTTACCAAAGGTGGGACGAGCTCTTTGGGAAATCAAAAATCAAAATGAAAAACATAAAAATACAGAAAGGAAAAAAAGAAACAAGAAAACGAAATGCCCGCGGGATTTTTGTGTAGTGTGTGTGTGTGCCTGTGTTACTGGCGAATAAATTTACGCTTGTGGTTTAATACCCGATTCTGTCCCGAATCCACCTCTCTGAACCCCCTTTCGTAATTCTCCTGCGGCTCTTTTCCCGAATCGCGCCATTTCAATTCCATCAAATGAATTTTTCGACTCGGGGCAAAAGATATATACGGGCATTCTGTCTGTCTGTCTGTCTGTCGGTTGGTCTGTTGGTCTGTGTGCATTTGATGCATATAATTTTATTGCACATTGCCAGCGGGCCGAGAGCGATCCATTCAGTTTCTGCCGCTTCGCGGTTTTATTATTTACAATTTTATTTTTACCATTTTCCATGACTACTCTGCAATAATTTTCGAAAAATGGCGGGAAGCAATTTTCGCGGGTTCTCTCGTACTTTTCTCACCCCATGTACATACATTTTTATATATATTTAATTTGATTATTTTATGCCACCAAGAGAAAGAGAGGCCGAACAACAAAAACCAAAAAACGAAAAACGAAAAATGTGCAATTGCAATTTGTATAAAAATGTGCATTGCAGCTGCTGCAGTTGCCCCCTCGCCCACCTTGCCGCCATCAGTTCGTGTGCCATTTCAAACGCCTGCGAAATGCAGCACAAAAATTGTTTTGGTGTTATTTTAATTTAAAGGTTAACCGCAGCGTAATTTGTGGCATAAAATATAATTCGTCTATCGTGTGCCCGTTCTCGCGCCTCTCCCACTGTTTGTTCGAATACTTTTTGTTCGCTGTAGAAATAAAATCAAAATAGAAAAGATCAAGGAGAGCGGAGCAGCGGAAAATGCCACAGTCGATGTTGAGGTTTACTTTAGTGGCCGACAACACTTACAAAAGTTGATGGAAACATTGGGAATTCGTTTTAGTTGTTAGCCCACATTTATTTGTTGAGGGAAAGCTATTAAGAAATAGATTACAAAAACATGTTGTATGTGTATTATTATATATACGGGATTTTAATACAGTTTAGATTGAGATGGTTTCCCATAAAAAACAATTCCAAATGTTGAGAAACTTTGCTTCTAAAGTCCATAATGTTTTCTGAATTATATATAAATTTTAATGTTATAAACAATAATATATTATATTGGAAATATTCCAATCCTTATCAGACTGCCTTGGTAGCGGCTAACCTTCGCTGCGAATTCTTTTCTAATTAAGTGGGCGATTCCCCGCATGAGTCATGGCTCCCATCTATAATCTGGAGATTTCAGATATATCTCGGGTTTGGTTGAGAATTCGCTCTGCAGACGCTTCACATGCCAGCGAAAATTGAGCGAGTAGGACGCATCAGGCTGAGAGGAATATTTATAAACAAATTACATATGCATATTTCTGCAAGGGGCACCGGGGGGCCCAAGTCTCTATATGGGGCCCCTCGTCCCCATCTCCATCTCCAGCTCCATCTCACCCGATGTTGTTTTCCGTGTGCTAAAGAGCTTCATGTTTAATGATCAAATTGCGTGCCTGATTCTTGGGTCGGTGCCTGCTGGTGCTATAGTTGTTGCTTTTGCTGTTATAGCCATAGTAGTATTATTATTTTTATTTTCCTCCATACTACACATAGTTGCCAAGTTTGACGAGGTCGCTAGCTGCCGTTGGAAGTGTTTTCATTAGTTTCATTTCTTTTTGCATTTACGCTTAAAAGTTTTTTAAATAATCTGCCTCTTTTCGTTGGTGTAATTTCCCCAATATTAAGTCAAAGTGTTTCGCTAATATTCATCGAATAACATGGAATTACTGTTTTTGGTAGAAAACTCTTTCAGGGAGAGATCCATCGATGAAAAAGTGCCTCCGTGCGGGGCAAAACGAAATAAATACAGAGAATTGTGGAGGCAAAAGTGTACACACAAAATGTGAAGAAAAAATGTGTTGTAAAGTAGAGGAAAAATCATTTAGACAAGTTGCACGCCGCTCATTAAATTAAATGAGCCATCAGCACGCAATTTATTTTCGTATTTTTGAGTAACTTTTGGCCCCGGCCAGAAGACGTCGGCAAAAATGGCAACTCCAAAAGACTTTTGTTTCTTTCCGCTAGGAATTTTGTTTGGAAAGTTGGCCAAGTCCTCGGCTCAGAGCAATTTAATTAAATGATTGTAGAAGCGGGATTTGTTAAATAGAGTTAATTTGAAGTGATGCGCCAATAACTTGGAGTGTATTTTCTTTTGTTTGTATAGCATTAAAAAGATAAATAATTTTCAATAAAACCAGAACATTTTTTTAGTTGAGTTCCATTTAAAAGTTTCATACATTTGCTATTTTATATACATATATATTTGATTTGCTTGTTATACTGCATTTTCTACCATTTCCCGTCAATTCAAATTTAAAACATTTGCGTTAAATTTCGGCAATTAAATTGTCTTCGCTTTCTTTGCTCTTTAAATTCCCAGAAAAAAGCTAAAAATATATTTTAAATTCATTTTCTTTCGATTTATTTTTGATACGATATTTTTATTGCTTGTACACACAAAATTTGAATTTACCTTTTTCGACAAATTTTGTTGCTGTTGTCCGGCTCAGTCGGTGTTTTGTTAATCATCTGCCAGTTTTTTGTCCGCGAGTTTGGGGCTCATTTTAATTTAATAAATGCCACGGACTGACGTCATTTGTTGTTGATTTTTGATAAATGTTAAAACGCCAAAGAATTCATTTATATTTTTTTCCCTTTGGTCGCTTTCAATTTGGCTACCGAGCATCTAATTTTTCTGCTTTAAATTTATGCATATATTTCAGTGTTTTATTTTTTCGCTTGTGTTAAGTATTTGTTTTTAGATATAAATTAAATGATAGAAAAGAAACAAAAATTAGCGCACGTTTTCGACTGTTGTCAAACTGCCGTCAACGTTTGATGTTTGCCTGCTCGATAATATTGTTATTATAAGCAATAAAATTTAATAATATCGCCTAGGATGAAGCGTGTTTGGAGTTTTCTTGGCAATGCTGCAACTGTAAATTAAAATAACACCCAGGCACGCAACAAAAATTAATTGTCTAACACCAAATAAAACTTTTGAGGCCGCCAAAAAGCTGGGCGTGACTTTTTTCATCGGGGGAAGGAGGCGTGGCAGAGGGACACACCTACAACAGCGGTTCGTCCGCTAATTAAGCAAAGCCAAAGCCCCAGAAAAAAAGGGGAAAGAATTATAGAGAAATACAGAAGAAATGGAAAGAAATTCAAATAGAACATGATAAACAATTAATTTTGATTAGGCCTTCGACCGCGCCAGCGCAATTAAGAAGTTCTTTGTTTTTGTATTATTCGGGGTATGAAAATACAAAAATACAATAAATAGAAAAGTCGAAAAGCAAAAGTGTTGAGGGGCGAAAGAACGCAAGAAATCGATAAACGAAGTCGGTTGTACAACAAATAAATTGAGGCCTCCACGCGGGGAAAGTGGATGGTGGACTGACTATTCGACTGCGACTATGTGTAATGGCGGCCATTGTCACCATTTTGGCTAAAACACCAGCACACACACGCTCCTCCATCTCTGTCTCGCATTTTAGTCTGGCTGCATTTTTGCACTCATAACTCTTCTGCCGCTGCCACTGCCATAGCCGCTGGCGTCTGGCCTTTGGTCAGTTTTAGGCGTCGCCAGATAAAGCCCACCCACCCATTTACCCCTTTGCTAACGGCCGAACGGGCCACCAACGATAAAATGTCCTTGCTGTGCGGCTATTTCCGGTGTTTCGTTTGGGCAACATTTTCAGTTTCAAGTTCACGCAGGATTTCGGTGCTTCATTTTGGGCATTCAGCTTAAAGCGCAACACATACCTGAATTTCAATTTTAAAACTTTTAATCCATTGGCAATTTGTGTATATATGAATGTAAGTTTTGTTTAATATTTTTGAAATTTATAAATGGCATTTATTAATGGAAAATTGTTTTTATTGTGTGACATGAATTATTTTTTCCATAACATACTTATTCTCATAGATTCATATGGTACGTTTTAGCTTAATTTCTTTGAAAAGAATATTAAATTTCTTTGCAGCCAAATAAGGCTCTACTAAAAGCAAGAATCTACATATTAAAGCGGTGCCTGAAAAGTACAATTGAGTTGTTGCTGCATAGTTGGTTGTAGGCTGGCTTTAGCAATGACTTAATGTGGCCCAAACACGACAAAAACATACCAAAAATCACAAACACACAGACAGACAGACAGACAGCAACTGGGACAAGAGCTGGAAAACGCAACTCCTCCGGAAAAAGGCTGCTCCAAAAATAAAAACAAAATCGTAGCTCCTTCAGCGCCTGTCACTGACAGTTTTGAGCACCACCACCCACATTTTGTTATGTTTGCTGTTGCTGTTGCTGGTGGTGGTGCTGCCATGGGGGCGTCATAAATTTTTGAAGGATTTTCGACGCTGAACTTGTCAAAATCAGACCATGGGCCTCGACTGTTTGGTGGTTGGTTGGCTTATATTGATCCGCTTGGCCGAGAGCTTTTCCATTCAACAAGGTCAATGGCTTGGTCACTAAACAATAATCAAAAGAGAAAAAATGGGGAAAAATACGGGGGACAGGGGACAGGGACAGGGACAAAGAGCGAGGGAGATAGGGAGAGCCGACCCGAGATCATCAATCAAAGTTGGCCCAAATGGTTCGGGGAGTTGTACCAAACGCAAAACCGAAACCTAAGTGTATTTGCCTGTTCGATTTATACCCCTCATTGTGTTTTCTTTTAGATTTTTTTTGTTTTGTTTCTGAGCTCCTCTTCGCGGCGGCGGCTCAAATTCCCACATTACTTATGTACAAGTACAAATTGTGGTAATTTTCAAGATCTCTTTGTTGGCGAGGCTTTTGCTCCACAATTTCCTCATTTCTAAACGAACGAACCAAACCAAAATCATACCAAACCGAACCGAACGCCAAGAAATCGAAACAAAAAAGCAGCGTTCGACTGCCGCTGCCACCAACACTAAAATTAGCATAACAACTTTATAGTTTAACAGCCATGAACTGAACCCCAGCGAACCGAAAACCAAGCCAAAACGAACTGACTAACCCGGACAAGTCGGTAGGTAGTATCTATGAGTTTGTATCTCGTGCATGTGCACACAGCCAACAACACCAAAACGGAGGCAGCACGACCGCCTCACTAAACTAATCTCTGGTGTGTATCTCAAGGATTGCCAACCTCAAAGGTTGACAATCGTCGCAGAAGCTCTTTCCCTGCCACTCTGCCTTCGCTTATTTTTTTTTTGTTTTCGAGCCACCTGCGATTTGAAAAGCAGCTGCCATATGAGTCGCGCTGCACTATTTCAAAGTATAGATACAGATACAGATACTCTTTCTCTGTCTCTGTCTCTTCCTTCCCAGCTGCAAATCCTTGACATTTTCGCCAAAACACAAACGAACTGCAGCCCCCTTTTCGCACTTCAACTCTCTTACGGCAAGTCAATTGCTCATTTAGTGTCAAAGATTTTTCCAGGCTGATAAAAAATCAACCTCAACTTGAGCGGTGGGGAAAAGTGGGAAAAAGGGGGGACCCAACCATCATCTCTTGTCGCTGCACAAAAATCTTTTTGTCAACTTCTTCGTGTTCCCTCAAATTATGCAGTGTGAAACGGAGAGGAGAAGTGTATCTTCAGCCGACGCCACTTGAGTACAAATGATAAAAATCTCGCACACAGATACTTGCACACACTCGCACACTTGGCCGCCAGTTGAACTTTTGTTGGAAAAGAAAAAAATATATAAGAAAAATCATTTCTCAGTTGGTTTGGTGTTATTATTACTACCATTGTTGTTGGCGTTGCACACAAACCTGTTTGCAATTGCGCGGCTTCACAAAATGTTGTACAACTTTGGCCGGAGATAGAGAACAAACACACACTCGAAATGCTTGGACAGATTAACTGATAATATTCAAAATTGTCTGCTGCTTTTGGCGCTTAATTAATATGCAAAAAACGTTGAAAGAAAAGACGAGCGCCGAGACAAAGTAAGGTAACCGAAATGTATAGGAGCGCAACTGTATGGGTTGGCAAATGAACGAGTATATATCCATATAATGTCGAAGCAGCGGCAAAGTAATCACAAGGTCGTCAGTTTTTGCTGGGGTTTGTATTTTTTTTTTATCGGCATGTTCTTCATTTTTTTTTGCTGGCTGAGAGTCTTTAATGTAGAAAATGTATCTAAATGTGTGTGTTTAAAAAAGATTTCATGTCGCCGCTAATTTGACTGCACTAAGAAAAAAAAACAATAGGTCTGAAATTAGGCAAAATGTTAAAGCTTTGAAATTTTTGGCTTAGAAATGGTATATTTCCTCTAGTAATAAGTAACTTCTACATATTAACTTATTTACTTAAGGAATCAACACTCTTAGGATTCCCTTGAAATATAATAAAATACAACCAACACTGCACTAATTTTTTATATAAAATTTAATAAAAGAATCACTAATATAAAATGATAATATAAACAAGACTAGCGTTAACCCAATATATAGCAGTTTTGGTTGGATATTTTTTCTTATGCATCTTTCAATATCCCACTAATGTACGATTTTGCTCTTCTTGGACCTTCCAGTATGACGATGGCCTACACGGCTACGGCATGGACTCCGGAGCCGCCGCAGCGGCCATGTACGATCCACACGCCGGTCACCGGCCGCCAGGCCTGCAGGGCCTCCCCTCGCACCACTCTCCGCACATGACGCACGCAGCGGCGGCGGCGGCCACAGTGGGCATGCACGGCTACCATTCGGGGGCCGGGGGTCATGGAACACCTAGTCATGTATCGCCGGTCGGTAATCACCTAATGGGCGCTATCCCTGAAGTACACAAACGTGATAAGGATGCGATTTATGAGTAAGTACATGGCAGAACTAATGGAAATCAACAGAGGTGACAGCCCTGTTCGTACATAGTTCGAATGACCCAAGATGATCTTGTTTTGTCAGATTCAGATTAGAAACAAGTAATGAATGAAGAATTTGGAATGTGGAAAACGATTTTAGAAAGCTAGCCTTTTTCGATTGCTGTCAAGTTGTCACTGATTTAATTCTGAAATATATGCTCAATGAACACTTGAAGCTCATTTAATGATCATTGAATATATATTTTGCAGTGAATAATTACTTAAGAAATTTCAAAGCTTAATAGTCATAAAAATATACAAGATGTTAGAAGTTATCAACAGGAACATATTAGGTGATGTTTTTATATACATAATCATTTTTTGTGAGTGACAGTAAATTAAAAAATATATGCAAATTGAAAAAAAAGGAATTGCCTCTATTAATGCATAATCAGTATTAAAACGTCTGCATTTAATCAATATTCGAACTCATTTCAAAGGCTTGTCCCATTATCGATTTATAATTTTTGGCATGTTCTCGATGGTCCAACCCAATTCGCCACCTGTTTTCAACTTATCAAGGGAGTCGACATCGTTTTTACGCACGCGTAACTTATCGAAAGGGAAGAAGTTATCCACAAGAACACGATCCTTTTTTTTTTGTGTAGGGACAAATGGGCGTGATCCTCATGCGTTTTGCGCAAAATACAAAATTATGGGTTTGCCTTTACGGCTAAAACTCACACAAATATGTCCGCTTTTTCAAATTCTATCTTGGGGGTGTGTCAGGTGTTTAGTGACGGACACGGAACATGAACGTGCTTAGGCATTAGGGAGTCCAAAAACCAGCCAACCAACCAAACAACCAACCAGCCAACCAACCAACCATCGAAAATGAGGTGCAGTTTCTCGCTCTGCGGTTCGGGTGATAATTTGCCAAAATTGTGGTTTCTTCTCTGTTTGGTTTTTGTATCTTTCTTATGACTTTTTGCGTTTTTTTCTAACCCGATCGTACCTTTTTATGTCATTGCGTGTCCTGGCAATTTTCATGTGTTGCAACTGTTTTGCCAGCTGTCTGAGTGCCTGAAATGCCTGTTTGCCCACTTTTTTCCGCTGCATATATTGTGCAAATATTTGCTTTAAAAGGGAATTTCATGAATGACTTACGAGGACTTCAATCAGCTGTTTGATGACTGTTTGATGATTGTCCCTGTCTCGAGTGTCTGCTCAAACACGATGATTATGACTTCATTGAGCACCTGCCATTATGATTATTATTATTTTTTTGGCACCTTTTTCCCAAAATTCAAATTGAATTTATGGAAGAGGCAATACAAAGGGAAAGAGCTCTCTGTTTAACACCTTCTTCAGCTGCTCTTTTTGCCTGGTCATCATAAATGAGTATCAGGCGGTTTTATTTTAGCCTTTTTTCTTTATTTGCTGCTCTACTCCTGATCCCAGACCCAGGCCAAAAACGCACTCAACTGTAAAAGGCTGAAACTCCGACTCGGACTCGGACTCGGACTCTTATTAATAGTTTGTTAAGCGCAGGTCGACACCCCCTCTTTCGGTCGGTTTTTGTGCCATCTAATGGGTTCTTTTTCTGGTCAGGGGTCCCGCCTAATTTTGTTCAGGTGCAATTTGTGCGTGAACAGCAAAAAAAAAAAAAAAAAAACTACACCGAAATTGAGAAATTAGGCAGGAAAAAACTACTCCTGGAATGAAGAAAAAAAATGGTCAAATCATGTTGAGTTGTTGAACTAATCCGTCAGCATGAAGAGAGGGATTATTTATATGTGTATAAAGGCTAAGATACAGATACAAATACAGAAACAAATACAGTTGCAGATGGGAAAGGCAGCTGCTCATTTGCATTTTGCTGGTCAGGAAATATCCTGGCTTTGTAGGGGAATCCAGAAAAAAAATTAAGAGGGAAGTGTCTAAAACATTTGGTTAAAAGTGAGCATGTATATAAAGCTAACAAAAATTAAAATAAAAAACTGCCAAAAGAACTAAATTGTTCTTTGTTTGCCTATTTGTTTATTTATTTAACAGTTAATGTATACATTTATTACCACTTTCAAGATTTTCATTTTTGCCAACCAGGGAGCTATAAATATAGAGATCGAAAGGCAGCTGCTAATTTGCATTTTGTAGGGCAGGAAATGTCCTGAAATTTGACCAACAACTGATGTATTATGTATTTATTGTGCCATTCTCGTTGCAGACATCCGCTATTCCCGCTTTTGGCGCTGATCTTTGAGAAGTGCGAATTGGCCACATGTACGCCGAGGGAGCCCGGGGTGCAAGGTGGCGATGTCTGTTCGTCGGAATCGTTCAACGAGGATATTGCAATGTTCAGTAAACAGGTAAGAATAATGGCCCCAGCTTTCGGTGCCATCGATGGTGGTAATTGGAGACGATTCCTGTATGCGGTGTGGGGAAAAGAGCGTATATCTATCCTATATCTTTGGGCATCCCTCGCCTCGATGGGAACACATGGCCCACATGTGGCCACTAAATAAATATAAATAAAAATAAAAACAACAGGGAAATCGCGGCACACGAACTTAACGAAGCAGGCCGCTAAATGATCGGATTACATTGCCCCGAGGATCGTTGAGGATCGATTCTCTTCATCTCAATGAGCGGGGCAGTCTGCACTTAATTACAGTCCCCGCTGACAACAGCATTCCCGCGGCAACAACAACAATGTCTTGCTGCCATATGTCACAAATATGCGATGTGACTCCCAGAATGGCGCTGCCCACACTTGACACTTCCTCCCCGGCCGCGTCCACGCCCCGTTTAGCGCCCCCTTTTTAGAGTTCATAAAACCGATACTGAAGATACTCTGCCACACACTGACATTTGGATAATTTACGATGTTTTAACATACAAATTATAATGTTGCAAGTAGCTGCTGCTGCTGCTGCTGCTTCTCCACATCCTGCTCCCCATTTTCGTCCGGCAGCTATTTTTATGAGTCAGTGAAGATCGCATTTGAAACAGTAGACGCGCAGAATCCAAATAATGATGATGATGCCAAAACAGAACTTATGGCTCCATTCCACGCTCTGCGACATTTTTGGCAAACAACAACTGCAACAACCGACGCCCCCAGTTGAATATTATAAAAATGATGTTCTTATTTATGGTCCATTTGGAATTTTGACAGGCCCCTGCTATGGGCAATAAAACCAGCAACAACAACAGGAACCGCAAGAACAACATTAAACAACAGTCCAACACCATCTCAAAGTCGAGCCACATTTATCAAGATGCTCCATCCGTCGTCCGTCTTTTTGTGTTTTGGGCTGGGTGAGATTTTGATAGACTTTTGTCAGATTGTCAATGAAATGTCACATAAAGTTGAGGCATTCTGGGGATCTGGCAACGCCTTCGAACAAATTAAAACTTAAAGATGAGAGTTTTTATAATGTCAAAAAAAAAAACTATAGGAATACTATGAGAAATCGTAAATTTTAGGAAAATAAGTTCTAAATATGTAAGAGCTTAAAGAAGTTATTGTAATGAGACATTTGACTTCCCCAATAATGGTAATACCAAGCCTTCTTTAACCAATGAAAGATAATGAAAAGAACGTCTCGGGATTCTGCAAGTCGATCTGCAATGATACCATCTCGTAGTTGACATTTGTTGATCATTCACCGAACCGAACGTCAACAACTAAGTTGTCGCTTACATTTCGTTTTTATTTCGGCTCGCCTCGAGTTCAGTATAGTTTGGCTGAGTTCTTTGCCTGTCGTTGTTTTCGTGGTTGTTTTCGTCGTTGTCGGGCTGACAAAAATAACTCAAAAATGTCATTCGCCCATCGAATTTTAACAAACGAGCAGAGGAGCAGAGAGCGTCGTTTTCTTCGCCCCAGAAGAGGGGCTAAAAATAAGGCATTGGCACTTTTTTACTTTGCCTCGTAGTTGCTGTTCCCGCAGTTGTTGTTGCTGCTGCTGCTACTGCCGCTGATGACGCCGATGCATTTTATATAGATAGATTGCATAGATATATCTCTTCGTTGGCACTCTCTCGCTATGCTATATATATTCACTTTAATTTGGACTAAGCAACTGCGTAAAATGCGCCACGCCAACGCCAGCGGCAGGGTGATATTTTCCTTATTTTCCTTACTTTCCGATTCCCGATCTCCGCTCCCGATCTCCTCACGAAAGATGCTCTTCTTGATGGCGAGCATAGTTAGGCGACTTTTGGTGTTGGCGCTGCTAATGATGCAGCTAAGGAAACGCTTTATAATTTCTCTTTAAAACCAGCAACATGTGATGCAAATGACGAACAAAAAAATAAAGACCACAAAAAGTATAAGAGAAGTGCGCGCACATATGTATATATAAAAATAAAATGCCCAGCAAAAGTTCGTTGTCTGATCATTTCTTTGTTGCGGATCCCCAAATGAGACAAAGGCACAGCATCGTCTAAATGTGCAGATAATTTTATAATTTCAATTTAAGTAATGTTAAATGGAAATAAGCTTGTTTCCTGACATTTCGCTAATAGTTTGGACATGCGATGAGTTGATTTGTTGCACGTTGCATGTTGCAGCTAGGAAGATCCGAGAAGATTAATGAAGTGCCTCTGGCTGTCCGTCCTTGACATTTGTTTGGCTGCCTAACAACTGTCACAACATTTCAAGCTGACCAAAAAACAAAAAAAAAAGAAGCAGGTAACAGAGAGTTCTAACCGAAACCGAACAGGTTAAATCCTAATGCCAATCAATGTTTCGGTGTTTTTCGGTTTTCTCTGGATTGGGTTTTCCCTACAAAAGGCAATTTACTGGCTTACCTTTTTCCAGTCCCCCTCCGCATTTCTCGTTGGCCCTCCCCGGTTTTTTTGTTTCGTAAATTGCATTTTCTGATTTCGTCCGAAACGCAGGAGGATGGTTCATAATCAGGTATGAAAGGTTACGCGTCGCATTTGTGTTTGTATTGTCAGCCAGCAGCAGGAGCACAGGGAAGCCAGGGCCACAGCCTCGCTGGAATGTTCACTTTGCCGAGGGATCTCTGTAGGAGAGATATCTCTGCTCGTCCCGTAGTCCCGCCGTCTCCTTTCTCCTCTACGCATTTGCGTTTCTCCGTTTCTCGGGGCCCAAGAAAAAGAAAAGGAACTTAATCTCTTTTGTGCAATATTCCCTGCCTCTACTCTCCGTTCGTTGTTTTGTTCTTTTAATGATAAAAAAAATACAGAAACCTTTACCTTTTTATTTGGAATTTGGTACCTTTTTAATCTCTCTCGCTCTGCGGCCCTCTTCCTCACCCTCTCCCCCTTTCTAGTTATATTATTAAAGCATTGTTCTTTTGGTTTTGTGCGATCGCACAACCCTTAGCGGGTTTTGAATTTCTTGGGCAGAACAATCAAAAGAATCCCTCTGTTATTTTTATTTATTTTTTCTTTTATTTTTTAGCCAAACTGCGAAATGAGCAAAAGCGCGCAGACGCAACTGTTTCCACAAAAAATCAAGGGGAGTGGCAGGGGGTTGAAAGTTCTTTAATTTTTTGGAATTGCGTTGCATTCATACTGTAGATGTTGTTGATGTTGATTGCCGCAATTGCACAGCGTGAATTGATTTGGCATAGCAGCGGGGAATTAGGGGGGGCGAAAACCGGACGCGGGGTGGATTTTCCAAGATTATTTACTTAACAGTTGCATACGAGCCACAATCCATTAGCAGCCAGCAGACAAGATGCGTTCCAAATTCCCTCAAATATTTGTTTATGGAACCACTTGGCGCCTTTTAAATGTGATTATTTAGTTAACTGCCTGCATATCGCTGTCTCCCTCTGTCTCTCTCCGTTTCTATACCCATCTCATTCCGAGTTTGTGTTTGGATTATGGCAACATTTTCGGGCTGCTGCTGCCCGGAATGACTTTCAATATTTGTTCAGTAGTTTGACCCTTTTTAACAGCTCTATATATGCCACGGAATAGTATGTGTATCTGCTGGATACATAATGTCTGTTTAACCATTAGGGTGTCCCATCAATTTGCGCTGGCCCAAGAAATAGAGCCACAAATGATAGTCTACGCATACAAAATACACCCATTTGAACTGGCTATCTAATGGTAAAATTCTCGTATCAGAAATAGGAAATAGACCTAAGATCAATATGGATTTATGATCGGATTCCTTCTTCTTGTGTATGGAAATGGTTTTCTCTTGTCATCTCTTTCGGAAATATTTCACTCTTTCGCGGTGCCTTTATTTATGTGGCGTTACTTATGGGGAAAATCCAACGCACCCCCCCTAGAAGCTAACCCAAAATGATTTATGAGCGGCGGCTCCCGAGACGAGATGTCTGCTAAACGTTCTCAATTAAAAACCAAAGCACAGCGAGAGGCTGTAAAATGACAAATTGTGGCACAATTGACAGGCGGCGGCCAACTTGTCAACCATCTTCTTTGAAATAAAACAAGAACCTCTCTCTGGTTATTTGCACGATTATCAGTTAAAGACCGGATGTTTAGAGGCAACATTATTACAATTATCTCTAGTTTCTGTTATTTTCTTTTTCAGTTCAGGTACGAAGCGGCCAAGAAATCTCTTGGCCAATGCAAATATTGACATTGTCCCTGCCGCTCTTTCTTTATTTGTCCTACCTCTGTGTGTTTGCCAACACACTAAAAAGCGTTAGAAGTAGTGTATCTGAGCGGTAGCTGGCCCAATGCGTTTACTTTTGGGTCGTAAACTCAAGTATCTGGAGTGGAGTATCCCCCCTCGGGGAACGGGAACCTATGCTCTTTCCAGCGGGGTGTACACATGGGGTTATAAAAAGAAACTGCCGGTGGGGGTCGTCGAGTCTCTGGTTTTGTTTCTAGTTTCTGCTTGTGTCACCTCAATTGCGGCTGGTTTACTACCGATATTGTGCGCCCATTATAAAGATATAGATAAAAACAACTACGACTATGACAACGCATTCGCTTTTGTTGTTGTTACTGTTATTGTTTTTGTTCTATTTATGTTTGTTGATGCCGGGTAAAAGTAATCAACGACATTAAACAAGTCCAACATCATCGTCATCGGCTAGGCAAATAAAGCTCACTTTTTTCCTGTTGGACTTCGGTTTTGTATTACAACGAAATTATTGTTATTTTTATGAGTGGGTTGCAGCACAAGGCCGGCGACAAAGTTTCTAAAAAGGGGTAAACAAATGGGAAACTGTTTTTTATGAGGCTTATTTGTAATTATTTTTTTAGAGTTCTTCTTCACTATAAATGGCCATAGTTTTCTGGTTAGCCCCCAAAAGTGAAGTCTCTGTTTTTTGGTTATTTTGCAAGCTTTTAGGCACCTAAGCGTGGTTCCATTTTACCATTGTGTAGGTGTGAGAAACCCGATATGGTTTTGTCTCGATTCGAGTTGGTCTCCGTTTGTATTTCGCTGTATGAGGTAAGTGCAATTTTGCAGTGACTGAGCAGGGATGTTGTTCTTTTTATGCTGTTGCGGCCACAAGTTTGTTAAAGTCTAGACCGAAACAAAAATAATCTTTTACTCGAGCTTATGAAAAATGTCTCAGAGCTTTTGCTGCCTGGGCTCTATCTTCATCTTCGTCTGTTATTTTAATTTGGTTAGTTTTTCCCGGGCCACAGTACAAATCTTGATAACATTCCCTCAGACACTCATAGTCGCTATCTCTTTCCCAAATATTTTGTTGCTCTTTTTGTTTGTTTATAATGTTTGAGGGTGAGGGGGAAAAGGGGAGGGAAAACCCGCATGCGGCTGGCGCCGTGGCACGCAACATGGAAATGAAAATAATATAATGCGGCTACGTGCTGCAATTTAGGCGCCTCGCTTTTCACATCCCCCGCTGACTTTTGGCTCCGCAATTAAAACAACTAATAAGAGGTTCCAGTTCCAGGTCGAACTTTGAACTTTAGTTCCCTTGGTTCCTTAAAAGAAATAAAAATTAAAGTAAATTGTAACTCTAATAAATAGTTTTTTTGAAATTCAATTTAAATAAAATAAATAATCATTCAATTGTTTTAGAAAACGTATTTATGATTTCAAGAAATAGTGTAAATATTTGAATTAAATAAATCTATTATATTTACCAGTAAACGATGATTTAAAAACTGTGAAGTATTTGCTTAAGTTATTTTTGTATTTGCTTATTAAAAGAGTTTGATTTTTTCCACTCAGATTTAAATTCATATATTTTTCAGATGACTTGCATTTAGTTTGTTTTTACGCATGGGCCTTTCCCCATTTTTTCATACCGCTTGCGAATCTTTTTCCAGCCCTTTTGCTTGTTATTGGGCTGTGTTATCACTGTTATCACTGCACTGTTTTCTCAAGTGGCCGGAGGCTCAGCGGCGATCGACAGGCAGCTTTTGACGGCAGCGACAACTCGAAGCACGCTGGCTACTGTGCGCTGATTCCAAAAGTCGGTGCTGGCGGTGGTGCATAAATTGCTTTATGGCCCGGTCCGGGCTGGAACTCTGACTGGGGCTTTATGGCCACATTACTCAAGTGGCTGCAGACCAAAAGCCCGTACTATTGTCCCTAGTCCGGGGCTATCTCCTCGCTCCCTCGCGGCGGAATGATTTTATAGCCTCGCGACCTGGCCATAAAATCATGCCCAACCGTGTATTGGCATTATAAAACGAATATAGTCCGGCTAGAATGAATGCTTTTACTCAGTCTTTCATGAACCCAGATTTAGTCGCTCGGTTTCGCTTTCTTCGCCTCTCGCCTTTCGATAATTGTCTGAGGAAATTTCTTGATTGAATCATAATTCGACTGACTACCACATTTGTCTGTATATATATATATATATACATATGTAGTTTTTATGACAGGGAATGATAGCACGTGGTTGATGAAATGGTACTGATTTCAAAATTCCCCCCATAATCGCGCGGGAAATTTATGACCACCTACGCCAGCGAGTTTCGATTTTTATTTTATTTTACCTTAGATTTTTTTTTGTATCTTTGGTTCCAGCGATTTGGGGACACGACATTGTAAACCTTTCGCCGGTTGTATTGCATTTATTGGCATCATAAAAAAGGCGCTTTGAAGAGCAGTATCTAAACAGTAGTGATTTCTTTTCGACCGTTGTCGCAAAAAAGCAAAAAAAAAAAAAAATTTATAAAAATAAAAAACAAAGAACAACAGAAATAGAAATTTATGAGGTGCTCATGTGAAACTGATTAGGAATGGGGTTCGCATTGGGTTCTCAGGTTCCGTTGGGGCGCGTGACGATTTCCGCACACTCGATTTGAATCAGATTCGAAATAAAACTAAACTATAAATACAAAATTGTCAGCTGCAGACGCCCACGCACTGCAGCATGTTGACAAAACTGTTGGGAAAGCAGGGAAATTATTTCGTTTTTATTCCTATTCCTATTCCCATTTTCATTTTCATTTCCATTTCATTTTCACGCCCCAACTGATGAACATTCGTATTTATAGACTTGTCTCATGCTGTGCATTTTAGTAGTTGCCCGCATGATTTATATATTTTTAAAATCATCTCGTTCTCTTGGCGAAGAACTTCAATTAGGATGGTTGTGGAGATGAGTGTGTTCAAGGTTTCGGGGCAGCCATTTTTTAAAGGCCTACCTCCGGTAAAGTGCGTGCAATATGCCCGGCCGGCCAACTTCTGGCCGACTGCTTTTCATATCAGTTAAAGCCAAAAGCGCGAGCCGAACGAACGGGCCTGCATAGCGAAACCAGTTTGGCAAGTTCCCATTTTATCTGTATCTCGGTGTGTGAGTGTGCAACACCATCAGCCAACCAGCATTTGAAAATGCAACATAAAAGCCAACAGGCAACAACTTTTGCAAAATACCCAACACGCAACTTGGGTCCGCTTTTCGTCCCCTTCTGGTCCCCCAACCTCAACCCCGCATTTTCCCCTTTTCGATCGCGACTCTTCAATGGCCGTGCTTTGTGTTTGTTATTATTGTATGGTGTATGGTATATGGTACATTTTGTAGTGGCTGCCACGGCCTCACAATGGGGCGTTTTTCTCATACGACCATCGTACAATGGTATGGAAGTGCCCACATATCTAGATACAAGTCGTCCAACTCTTTCCCGCCTCGCCGTCCGTGTGCAAAGTGTGTAATTATTAGCTGCACATGCCTCAGTTGATTTCAAATTGCCGTTACTGCCTTGGACCGCTGGACTCGAGTCTGCGTGGGTTTTTGCATCTGGAAGATCATAGTTTCCAGCTGTAGGAGATCACTAGGGCATACTTTACTTAATATCCTTTATTTTTCGGGTTTAACTTTAACTTTAATGTTACTCCAGGCCAAGAGCTTAGTGTGGCATCATGCCTATTTAATTCTTAGAGTGACCTTTCTTCTTGCAGAGTTGATTATATTTACTATCTATTCCATAGATTTTTGTAAGTGATCTCTTCTCGATTTTGTACCTTTGATGCAATCCTATTTAAAATGTTTAAATTTGTTTTTTAAGAGGACCCTTTCAGGGTCAGGTCTTTTATCCCGGGACAATATACAACCCTGTCTGTGGACCGCCCGCTGCAAGGCAACCTTGTTGCAAGTTGCTGGGTGGTCAACCAGCCGCAACTCTGCACAAAATCACCAAAACACACACGCATTTGGACAAGGTCAGATCGACTGTCGACCGTCGACCGTCGACCATCGACCGTTATATAAGATATCACAGCGGGTGTGTTTCGTCGATTTGTGTTTATCTAACGACCGAAGACCGAAAACTGAAGACCCCAGCTCGTCTTGGCCATTTATTATGGCTCAGTTCCGTGAGAGCCAGCTAACACCGAAATCGGCAAGAGATTTCAAATAATTCGCACAGCATTTGATGACCTTCTCGGTCTGTGTGGCATTTTATCTAGCCAGATATTGCCTTTGTGATCTTTATCTAAGTGTGTGGTTTATTTTTATATCGCTTAGTGTTCGGGATTGCTATAAAAGCGAGAATCTCTTTTATGGTCACAGCGAGTCGCATCGTCACCTCTTCGGGGTCTGGGGTCTGAGACCTGGGTTTTCGGCTTTGGGTCCGCTGACGAGCTGATGAGCACAAATGTTGCGTTTCCCATGCTCGCCGTGGAACCGATTTGCTTATGGTTGCTGTTGTAGTTTTATAATGTGTACAAAATATTTTGGTTTGGCATGAGCTTATCGGCGGCCAAGCCATCATAAAATAGCAAAAAAAAAATAAGAGGGCCAGTGGTGAGGAGTCGGTTTTGAGACCAGGACAGCTGGCAATAGTCTGTACAGAGCGGGAAAAAAATACATTTGGTATTTGGAATTATTTAGAGGTATATTTTTAAAATTATTATTTATGCATTCATAATATAAATGGTTTCCACTGTACCTTTAGTTGTACACTAAACCTTTTAGTTAAGTCCACGATAAAATGCCACATACCATTTATTTTTCTCTCTGTAAATTTAACACTTACTAACCATCGTCCTCCTTACTCTTTCTCTTTGCAGATAAGATCACAGAAACCCTATTATACCGCAGATCCCGAAGTCGACTCACTGGTGAGTAAAAAAAGCATAAAAAAAGACAGAAACCAAACTGGCAACAAAGTTGCCACAGTCTCCTTGGCAGCAAGTTGCCAAAGCCAAAGATCATGGTTTTTTTTTTTTCTGTATTTTACTGTGTGTGCTTATGTGTGTGCATCACCTTGACCCAAAACAACGACGACAATTGAATAATTTTCTTTTATTTAGAATAAATCACAGTGAATTTAGCAAAAGCGCAAAGCCACAGCAACGAACGCAATTTATGAGCATTTGTTCGTCAGCCCGAACTGAGTTGTTTAGTCATTTTATTGGACAGCGTTGCCATACTTTTCGCTCTTGATTTGTGCCTGCTCTCGGGGGATATAGTATAGTCGGGGCGATATCGGGGCATATAGCGGGGCCGGCGACGAGCGAACCCATGCGAACGACAATATGAAGCAGAACGATTTAATGATGCATATGACATTTTTGCACTCTCTAAATGGGCTGCCTGCAGCCTTGGGTGTGCAAAGAGAAAAAAAGGAAAAAATGCAAAAAATGCAAAAAAAAAAAGAACAAACATAGCAACAATGGAGCCAACGTCTTGACTTTAGTAGAATATGCATTCGCTGTCTTGGCAAAAGGGGGAGGTGGAGGAGGAAAACGGGGGCTCGATCCAAGGCAAATGCCAGCAGCACAACCTTGCAGATCATCATGATCGCCGCTCATGATGAGCTAAAATCTTCGAGGAGCATTATTATAGTTTAGGGGAACGGAACTCATGCTAATCTGCCAAAGGAAATGATCGTTAAAAGAGCTTCGAGATTTTGAGCACTCAGATAGGGCAGATACATTTCAGGGGATCAGTCAGAAATAAAGAAACGAAATGAGTCAGTGGTGCACTGGAAAATAAGAAAAAAATCATATGCTAAAAAATAATAAAGAATAAAATATTTTAAGATGGAAGATAATACTTTTTAGAACCACTTTGTATTCTAACTTTATTTAGACCAATTTTTAGTAATTAAGTGACCTTACACATCGATTTTTTTTATCATCGCTCGTAGCTATCAAAAATATATTCACCATTTTTGTAATCGTGTATCGAAAGTCCTTTAACCACTAATCTTAAACATGAGACATAAATACAACTCGCCCAGCAGATCCTTCTCCTTTTTTTTTTTTTTGGTTTTTTGCTGGCATTTTTCGACCCGACGAGTCATAACAATTTTTATGTGCACGAGTAAGGAAATAAGGGGCGAATGAAGGGGGGCCAAAAAGAGATCATTTCGGAGGCAGCATCCAGCAGAATGTAAATCAAGACGGAAATGCCGCGTGCAAAGAGTGCAAAAAGTGCAAAACGAGGCATGCAATTGGCTAGCAGCTAAGCTAAAGTCGAATGATGAAAAAACCCAGATGTATATATATAGCAGAGAGTCTGGCGGAGTATAAAGAGATTATGGGCAAAACTAATTTTAATTGCCGGCATCGTAAATGTGTCACTCACTTACCCACTCACTCACGGCGGAGTTTCTTCTGGTGGCCCTAATTTTATGCACTTGCAGATTAGTTTATTAGTTGTAGTACAAAATCACTGAAAAATCCCCCGAGTGCCCCCTGTTTTTGCTCCGCCACATCCCTCATCCATACATACACATAGATCGTCTTGGCCATGGCCGTGTGTCTGCGTACTTTGGCCATAAATCATTTTGGCATGCCACTCTGTGGTTGCCACTCCCCCCGCGGGCTCCGCCCCTTTATCCGCTATCGTGTTTGAACATTTAAAAGTGCATTTAGTAACACTCACTTAAAGGAAGAGGCAGGAATAAAAAGAAACCCCTTGCTATAAAAATGTTTATGGCATGTCTTGGGTTAAAATGGAATTCCTGGCAGTAGCTGCAACAATAACCAAAACCAAACAGGCCACACAGCAGCAGTTAGCAGCATCGTAAAAATGTCAAATGTCAAAGTGATGTTTTAATTAGCGGTCTGGTCACACCGGGCCAAATGCCGAGCCTGTGTGTTTATGAGTGTGCAAGAGTGTTTTGTATAATCAATAAAAATGTTTAATAGAACATTTTTATTATGTTTACTCCTTTAAAGTGAGACCATGCGCTTTTAATTATTTTTTTACTTGAACTGAAATTTGATATAAGATGCTTTAATTAACAGTCTGGTCACTCTGGGAAAATGCATGGGTTTTTATGAGTTTTTGCTTAACTTGCAAATACCTTTACTAAATTTGTATTTCATTTCCTCTCTTTTCAGATGGTGCAAGCAATACAAGTACTTCGGTTTCACCTTTTAGAATTAGAAAAAGTAAGTAACGACTTTGAAGATGTTTCCCCTAGCATAGTATACCACTTAAGCCAGCTAAAACATTGCCATAGCTTTAATATCGAAGTCTATTTATGCAACGTCATCAAAGCAGAAAAAGCAGCATTTGTTTAGTCATTGCAATTAACTGAAAAAGCCAGAGAGCCAAGCCAGGCCAAGTTGTCGGCAATCATTTATCAACGCCCCAAAAAGACCACCCAAAATGCTTAACCAGGAACCCAGGACCCAAAAACACAGTCTCCAGCCAGCAGGCCCATAAATAAAACCGTGCCCAAACGCCGGGCGAAAAAAGCAGGCAAATAGTTGCCAACGGGCGCGCATTTCAATTACCAACATTTGTGTTGACATTTTATTGAGCCATGTTGCAAAGGGGTGAACTGTGCGGAAGGGGGACATAGAGTCTCGCAGCAGGCGACCATATATCTGCAGTCGGTCTAATACACTTGCAAAATGTCTAAATTAAATGGAGAAATAAAAAAAATGCAGCTGAAAATTGAATTAATTGCCAATCAAAGTGAAATATTTGTCGGTGGGGGCAAGGGGCACAGGATGTTGGTAAGACCGCAAATATTTGCCCAGCGGCAGGTGTTTTTTTAAAGTCGGTTACAGTTTCATGCGTAAGATAAAAAAAAAAGGAATAATAGTTTCTAAACAATGGAATGCATTCAGGTTTCGGCTTCTCTTTTGTTGTTTATACATGAGGTGTGATGACTGCAGAACTTCCCCTCGATTTTCTAACATAATTCCTAGATAACGCAGCCACATAAATTATTTTCCCATCTTTAAACGAGGGGGGAGGTTTTATGCTGAGAGGGTTCTACAACACCTACTTGATTATTAGACACTTTATTGTCTAAATGGAAAAATTACAGGTTGCCTAATTTGTTTTAATTTCAAACAATATGCAAGCGGCTTCGGGTGCGTGTCTCTCAGTCGGTGACTTAATGGAAGTTGTTCCTCGAACGTGGTCGTAATTAATGCCGGCAACCCCCTCTTTAATGTATTTTGTTGTATTTTTGTTGCTGCTGTGCTGAGAAAATTAATTAGGCAAATGCGCAACGAAGCGTGGAGCGAACCTAAACCGAAACCGAAACTGAAACCGAAACTCAGAGCCGGAGTTTAAGTCCGAGGCTTGGAGCTAAGCCGGCCAGAAAACCCGTCCGAAAGTCGCTCTTCACTCTTTTTTCAATTAAGTCTTAAGTAAGAAATTATGCAAAACATTCTACACGAACCGAAAAAAAGAAGCAAAACAAGACAAACGCTCTGGGAATATATAGTAGAGTAGCATTAACACAAAAAACTTCAACATTGTTGGTTCGAAACGATTTAATACTCTATCGATCCAATAATGCTCCTAATAAATACACGGAAAAATGTAGATATAGGAAATCCGTGAAGAGCAAAATATTTGCCATCGTTTAAGTAATTGTTTGCTAACCCTATGAAATTCCTTTAGTCATTTGCTGCGGAATGCAGCATCTTTTCTTTTTGCGGAGAGACTATGGAGCATGAATATGGGCTAATGACGGCGAATGGGAATCGAACGAAGAAGAGTCAATCAAGGTGCAATTAGTATTGCAGTTAATCACCAAACGCTTTCTAAGTTTGCAAAACAAACAAATGCACAAAACTAGTGCAGTAAGCCAAGTTAGTCAGTCAGTTGGCCAGCTGCAATTTGTTGCAGTCAGCCAGCACCCTGTATAGAAAGCCAGAAAAGAGTAGAAAAAAATAAACATTCAAGATCTTTATCAACATCACAGCAGCAACGGCGGAGACCACGACAGGTTTTTGTTTTGTCATTTGTCACTCACACAGCTTGCGACACACACGAAAGCAACAAAGAACTGTAGCAACTTGTACAAAAAACGTAAAATCGAACAAAAAATAAGGCATAAAAAAACACATTCATTTATATGCAGCCAACAAAATGCAGCGGTCGATTTTTGGTGTATAAAATAAATATAAACGCAAAGAACAAAAAACTACAAAGAAATACAAAATATACTTAAATAAAATGTGCGGGTTGACTTGAAAAAAAAGTACAAAATACAAAAAAAAAAAAACATACAACATCTATATGGGAGCGAATAAATGTATATCTGTATCTGTGCATATTTGTTGCCGCTGCTAAAAACAACAACAGCGAACAGAATCAGTTAAAAAGACGTTTTCAAGACTTGTGTCTGTCAAAACTGGTTTGGCAGTCTCAGTTTCTCAGTCTCGGAGCTCCAGGCTTTGGGCCCAGTCTCCAGCTTTTTAGCTCCCCAGCACACGGACAATTCTCGTCACAGAGTCACATGCAAAAAAAACAAAACTAAAAAAAAAACTAAATAAAAATAAAATACAGCAAAAAATAAGGGGAGAAAAAATCAAGCAGGCAGGCATTGCAATTGACAAACAGACAGTGGGACGGTGGGACAGTTGGACAAACCGACCGATGGACAGAGCCGGAGACACAACACGTTGGGTCAGTTGCACACGCTTCTCCGCCGGCAGGGGGTATGGGTATGGGTATGGCTAGTATCGAATCGGGGAATCGGAATCGGCTGGGTTAATGCCGGCATGGGGGCATAACAGAACCACCAGTAACAGCAACAGCAACAACAACACCACCACCACCGATTTGGGGGCCTTGTTTTGATGGCTTGGCCAAGATCGCTTCGGGATCTCTCGCTAAAAACACCAGCAACATCGCCATCGACAGCTGTACACTTTTGGCTCAGTCGATGGATGATGATGCAAGCTGAGGGATGCCAAGACAACTGATGAATTTCTCGGATTTTGCTTGCCGAATAAAATACAGATAACTTTATATTTAGGGGCTTTAGTAAAACTTAAGTAGGTACTATACCATAAAAAAAACTTGTTTTAATGACAGATCTAGAAGTAGTGTACAAATATTTAGTACTTTTTTAATGAAGCAATTTGGCAGAAAATTAATTATAAAGCACTACCAATTAGGGCTCAACATAACTAAGACCAAAGTTAATTACCTATTAAAAGCATTTATGCATTGCATAGTACATATAATTACACTGCATTTAAATGTCATAGAGAGTGAAGTAAACTTGTTAGACAGACTGTGTGTTGGAGGTTGCGTGCCGAGACTTTAGATGGGGAATACTCGTAGTTAAAGCTATCTATGAGCGGAAATCGAGAATTACCACTGCGCAGATTGGAGCGATTTGCATCGAGATTAGAACAGAGGAAGCTGCGCGGGAAGGGGTGAGGAGGTGCGGTCGGGAAAAGCCAATGTTGCTGCTGTGAAAAGTTTTGCTTAACAGGATGTACAAATGAGCGTCAGCACTACAAGCAACTCCCTTTGGTTGCTGCTGTTGTTGCAGTTGCCGTTGTCGTTGCTGTTGCTGCTGCTTTTGCTGTTGCTATTGCTGTTGTCCATGTTTGCCTGTCGCCCTTGTTGCTCGGGGGCCCACCCAATGTGCAACAGCAACGGGAACGGCAACAGCCGCAGCAATGTGCAACAGCAACATGGGGGCCGCTGGCAGTCATAAATATCGCAATGAGCCGTTCGAAAATGTCACATACAATGCTGACAAATTAATCAAAAGTTATCAGCCAGCCGGCATCGAAAGTTCGCGGGTCTCTGAAGGGCCCAAGCCCAAGTCCAAGCAACCTCCGCAGCAGCATCGCATAAACATATCAATTTGGTGGGCGCTCTCATGTTGCATGTGCGCGGCCACAGCGGCAACATGTTGCTGGCGTGCTAATTGCACGCTTTATGGATATTGTTATGGTCACTTTGACAGCTACAAATGCAATCATAAAACCGAGACTGCGCCAGCAACATGTTGCTGCTGTTCCAGCTTATCAGCGACGGCGACAAATTTGACATTGTCCTGTCATAAACCAGTTGCTGGCCGATGCTTTTTTATCATCTTTTTTCGGTTTTTGCGTATATTTTTCGGTGACAATAACATTGAAAGCAGCCTGCAAACGAGTTTGACAAGTTTGGGCAATGGGCAACAAGTTAATAGCCTGGCTGTTGCAGCTTTCGCATGCCAAAAAAGCCAAAGTAAAGAAGCAGCAGCGGCAGCAGCAACACGGCACAGCAGCAACAACAAACAATTTGCATAAGCAACGCGCACTTTTTCGTAAATTAAATGCCTGGCCCCGGTTAAATGGAGCACCCTGTTGTTGTCGTTGGTGTTGCTGTTGTTGCTGTAGTTGCTGGTGTTGCTGCTGCTCTGTCTGCCAGCCATGGCCCAGTGCAATTAATTTCTTTTTAGCCGTGGCGGCGGCTGCATTCCTCTCTTTGTTGCTGCATATTTGCATATATGCCTGACTCACACTCACTTTGGCCTTATCGCATTTGTTTTATCACACACACACAAGCACACGGGGCAACAGCAACAACAGGGCCTTAAAAACGCATTCTGTTGGCCAAGTCTTCATGGGCCTTTTTCCCGCTGACGCCAGCGATCTTCTCCATGTTGCTAATGCGAGTGTTGCACGTGCTGCTGTCTCATGTTGCTGCTTGCTTTTGGTGTTTCTGTTGCTGTTACCGTTGCCGTTGCCGCTTAGTTGTTGGCCTGGCTGGTCGGCCTGGTTGGTTATTTGGCTGAAAGTGTGCCCCGGGGCTAAGCTGCCTGCCTCGTTCGCCGGCAACTTCCTTTTCGGCCAGTGCATTATTTCGTACCTCTATGCATATTTATGGGCCTTGGTTAGAGGCAAAGCCCCTGCATCAGCCATTTTTGAGTGCCATCATCATGGTCATGGGTCTGGCGATGGAGTCGCAGTCGGAGTTGAAGTTGGAGTTTTCAGGTAACGCATCAAAAGCAATTTGCATGCCATTTGCGGGGGAGGGGGCAGCGGGTCGGGACAACCGGGATGAGCAGGTTTCTGGTTGGGGCAAGAATGCGATGGCGCTTAGTATGGCAATGTTTAAGCTGGCTTCAAGTATAGATATAAGCTATAAGTGAAAAGTAAATAGCGATGCTAAATGATCGATAAAATCAAATTTATTTTAAGTAGTCAACATTTATTAGTCATTGAATCTAAACAGCAGATGATAAAAAAAAATTTATTCTAAAATTGAAATATAAAATATTTTTTAATATTAAAATTGTTTAAACAAGATTTTATAAATACATCGTTGATCGTCTGCTAAGCTTTCATTACTGTTAAGTTAAAGTATATTTCTATATATTAATAAAATAAATATAGGAATACCCTTAAAACATAAGACCCCTGAGAAATATCGATAGTTAATATAAAGCACACCCTTTAGAGTGTAGCACCCTCTTAAGATAATGCATCCACCCCGCCCCTGATGAAATCGTACCCCCGAATACCGACTCAAAACTGATGATCTCTTCTCTCTCTCTCTCTTCTACCACCTTCTCTGCCTTGTCCGCGGGGTTGTCTCGTTGCAGGTACACGAATTATGCGATAACTTCTGTCATCGGTATATATCGTGTTTAAAGGGTAAAATGCCAATAGATTTAGTGATCGACGAACGGGACACCACCAAACCACCGGAGTTGGGATCGGCGAACGGAGAAGGGCGCAGCAATGCCGACTCCACATCGCACACCGATGGAGCTAGTACACCAGACGTTGTGAGTACCCCCTTCGCGGGAGCACATGGTCCTATATTGGCGAGCTACAATGCGGTGGTGCACCCATGTTCGTAGTACGATAACGACCTTCTTGCAAAAACGAAGCGGGTGCTCACAATGCCCTGGGATTAAATGAATCAATAATAATAATTGCGATCAATCAATACGATATGCCAATCGAGCGAATAACCGAGCGATAACCACAAAAAAATAAAGAAAAGAATGTTGCTGCACACTGTATAAGCAATTAAGTAAAATTAATTCACTTTGTGCGAACAAACATAATATTAATATTGATGAATTCAAATCCAAATCCGAACGCAGAAGAAGTTGTACGTCATTATGAACACACACAAAACACCCACACACACATTGTAAATTAGTCAGAATCAGAAAGCGAAGAAATACGAAAAAAAGCCACAAAAATATTTTAAATTGAAAAACAGATACAAAACAAAAATCGAGCGAAATGGAGAGCAGAGGAATTTCCTAGCCGGAGCAGCAGCAGCAACAATATCTACGGCAGCAACATGCAACATGCGACGGCGGCAACAGTTGCAGCAAGGCAGCAACATCGGCGGCCAGCAGCAATCGAACCGAGGACAGTAACCGACATGAGTGACGTACTCCAGCGACAAACGAGCTTCCAAGAGGCTTCGGCCACAAATCCGAACCGAAAGACAACGAACCGACCACGAACGATATGACCAGAACCGAGCCGAACGAACGAATTACGAATGTATCTCACGGATACCCATTAATGTTGCTACCGCTGCCACGGCCAGAATTTGTTTGCTCTCCTCTGTGTACAGTAAATGCCATAAATTTAAGTTCCAAAACACTGAGGACAGCCGCGGGCCGGGCCGAAGTGAGTTCACTTTTGCCTGCCACACGCGCTTTCCCAGTTCATCTCACTCCCTCTCAAAACAGAAACACATAAACACAAAGCATCACTTTATATATCTCAAGCAGATTGTAAATGATAAAGATAAACAGACAAACAAAAAATGAACAAAAGCAACTGAGCAACAATAATTAGAGCAACAAACAATTTCGCTTAATTTGTAAAAAGTACCAACAACTAAAGAAACAAAAGCCAGATAAGAAAAGCATAAAGTAATTGAGAACTAAATTACAACAATGAACAATGTTACAGAACTTCGTTTTTGCAAGAGGCCCATATAGCTCGCCAATATATTATTAATTATTATTAACAAAAAACCCAACACTCACACACACCATTAACCAACTATTTTTGATTATTTTTCTTTACTTAACCCACACTGAACACCCAAAAAAAAACCAACCAACAAGAATTGAAGTAACGAATTATGAGAAAGTTTACTAACCCCAAAACTAACCAATTTTTAACAATTTTACATATGCACATAACTCTATATAGAGTTCTATATAGAAACTATATATAAATACCCACAAATACGCATATATTATATATGTATACTGATATAATATGATATACGAGAGCTGGCTCTAACTTTTCTACCCCGATTTCTTTGGGTACAGTCAGTTAGACAGTGGGATCGATAAGTCCGCTTATCGGTTTTTTGAGTTTATAAACTTGTAAATACTTGACATCCCCGTCCTTCCTCTCTCAACAACAACAACAACAAGCAGACACTGACATAGCCCACAAAAAATTACAAAAAAAAACAGATAAATACCAGACACAGAGTATACCCCACATTTTTAAAATCTCTCTCTATCTATCTTACGAAAAACCTTACGTAAATCTGTGCCAATTACTTGGAAAATGATCACAGCCCAGCACCCAAGACTTTTCACCGCTGGAGGAGACCTATGCCAGCTATCGCATCAAACACGAGGCGGACTTCTAGTCCCGCCCGACTTTTTATTCCTTCGAGTTCCCCCCCCAGTTGTCTATAAATAAACTGAAAAACCTATCTAAAATAGAAATAACGCTTAGCCATGTAGTTTGTAACTAAAATCAAGTCTAGGCTGCGCTTAAGGAAGTTCACTGGCAAGTGAAAGAGAGAAACAAACGCTAAAAGTATAGTTAATTCCTAGAAACTTCTAAACATATTTTCTATGCTTAGTTTTCAAATTTTTCGTTCTATATGTTTTCGGGAAATTTTCACTTTAGCAAACGTGTATACGATTTTTCAAAAACAAAACGTCCTTTTCCCTTCGCGTGCTTTACAACACCGAAGTGAACTTGCCAAATAATAAAAATACGTAAAATAAAAACTAAATGAAAATATTAACATATTTTCGTTAATCTTTTTTGTTCAACTCTCATCATGCAACGCATATACGTAAAAAGAGATACCAGAAAAGAAACCCCAACCTGAGTTCAAATGCAAAGTATACGAATAAAACTTTATTGTTTATTAAATAAAAACAAAAACGAAAAAAAAACTTAAAGTTAATTTAATTAATTGAGGATTGTAATGCGCCTATACGAACGACATTTTAAATGAGCCGATAATCTTTCAAGAACAATGATATACGTAAATCAACAGCATCAACTAAAACAAACTAAACAAACTTTAAGCATTTACTAAAGCAAATCGAAAACTACGCGATACTATTATTATTAAATAAATATAAAAGGAGAGAAAGCTAATGTAATTTAATTGAATTAGAGAGCAGTCGAGCAACTTAGAGACCCCTCGCTCCCCTTCCCCAATTGTATACTATAGCGTACGTTATATAGTTCTTAGTCAGGCCCCAAAACTCCCCAAAAATGCCCCAACTTAGGAGATGTATGCTAGGCGTAAACTATACTTGCAATCGAAACTCAAAGATACGAAAAACGTTAGCAGCAAATCCTTCTTCTAGCTACCAAAACCAACCAACAAAACACTTTCTACTGCTAATTTCTACTACTATTTTGAGTTGTAGACTACTAAACCAACAAAACTACAAAAAATGTACTTAAATCGAACTGCGAACAGTCGGTCGCAGCTCTTCAGCTATATGGGCAGTCATTTGTATACTTAGACTATAGTCGAACCGATTCCCAGCGGTTTATTATAGCCAACTAACTAAACAACAACAACAACGTGAAAAGCTTTTGTACTATTTTTTCAAAACTACAAAATAAAAACTTTCTTGCAAAATTATAAAAAACAATTTGCAAACAAAAAAAAATAAAATAGTTGTTGTACTTTGTCTCAAACCCAGAAAAAAAATAAAAAACTTATATGTAAGAAACTAAAATTAAACTTGAAAAATTGCTGTAATTATGTAATAATTTTTCTATTAGCATAATTCGCCGCTTTTTAGTTGCAAAAAAGGAGAGAAACTAGGAAGATAAATACATTGTTTCCTATGATTTTTGTGTGAGCTTTTTGCATTTTCGTTACATATTATTCTTTAATGATTTTTGTATCAAATGTTTTGCTAACAAAAAAACTACAAAAATTGAAAAAAATGAAGAAAACATTTTTTATTGTTGCATTGTAAAAATATACTTAAAATACAAACACAAAATACTGAAACTGAAATACGTAATTGCTTTAGGTGATATTTTATAAAAATATAACACAAGTAAAAATAATAATAAAAACCCTAAAATTAAAAAATGATGCAAAATATATACGTAATGTGTTTTAAAAATCGAAAGAAGGCGCTTTTTTGCTTTTTACTATTTTTAAAATATAAAACAAATAAATAAATTAACAATAATTTGAGCATACATTTTTTAATAATTATTATTATTATTGTTTTTACAAACAAAACATTTTATTTAGTTTTTAGCAAAATTGTAAAATGAAAGTAAATGTTATAAGAAATGATGGAGAGAAAACGCAATCAAAAATTAAGAGAAGAAAGAAAAGTAAAATATAAATCCAACAACAAAAAAAACAGCAACTTCTATACGATATACGAATACATTTTAATGTAATATTTTTAATTATTTATATGTATACTAATAATATAATTAAAACAAGGAAAAACAAAAACAGAGAAGGATTAAGTAAAAACAAAAAAGAACTACAGAGTAAAGTTTAAAGAGTTAGCCAATAAATATATGAAACAAACGAAGAAACAAAACAACAAAAAACCAAAATATATTTGAAAAGTATAAAACAAACTGAAATTGATTTTTTTCTGACTACCTTAGTTTTTAAGCAAATACGGATTCTAAAACATCAAGCAGAATGGAACTGGTACGACACGACTGAACATCATCACCAATGGATTTTATGCAGATTAAACCAAAGATGGATGACCTTAAAATGAAGCATGGGAAACTTTCCAATTTTCAGCTGAAATTTTTAGATCAACAATTGGGCGTCAGATTAAAGTTAAGAACTTTAAATTGTATCGCTTAGGGATCTTTTTCTACTTTTCAGCCGTGTTTGGAAACGTCTTCCTTACCTACGTGATCTTTCTAAGCAATGGTATAATTTTCTTTAGGTTTTCAGGAAAATCGGAACGGAATTTTCGATTTTTGAAATCACCTTAAGAGAGTATTAATCATTTGCTTGGAATGGGCCTGACAATTATTTTAAACATGTGCTTAAAATAGTTAAGATTTTGTGACTTTCAACGCAGATTAGGATATTTGCATAAGCTATCTACTTTTATTAACTCAATTTTGAAAATGCTTCAATGACTATTTATATCTTAAATATAAAATCTTAAATAATTTATTCACATTCAATTACAATATTTTAAAACTATTTTTGAAACAATAACTCCTTTGTTATGATATGCTGACCAACTTGTCAGATATTTTTACCCTGTTCAGGAACTGGAAAGTGAACATAATTCTGGCTCCTGTTCCATTAACTGGGGGTGTAAATTGAGAGGAGTTCGTCTCGTATTACCCCAGCTGAAAGGCAAAAACCGGCGGCACGTGTAAGCCGCTTAAAGTGCAGAGGGAGGATTTCGATCCAGAATTGGGGGTGCTCCCTCCTCTCGAGTGTCAGAAACTCGGGGATCACTGGATAAGTGCGCCAGATCTCTGAAATTCGAGCAGTGAACCCGATCGGATCCAGGCAGCTGCCACG